TCCGAGTGCTTCTAGTTCCTATTTGTGTCTCCTCGGTTCCTCGTTATTTAAAATGTTCTGAACCTGACACCCATATAAAATGAGTACTACTCAAGAAGTAGGAAACCAATTTTTTCTTTTAAAATTTTATTGCAAAAATAGAAAAATCTAATTTCAGTAATAATGGATAAAAATAGTAACATATATAAAGACAAAAATAATAAAGGCTTAAATAGTTAAAGGAGGTGGCAAGAGAAACACTTAGATTATCAGCTGTTGGAAATCTAAGATGAATAAAGATAAAACGAGAGTTTAATCTTAGGTTTTAAACAAATAATTATCTGTTGGACAGGATCTTATTTGTTTATACGCGGTGGGTTTGCATAAGGTTAACTAATTGTAACAGTTCACTTTGGGAGTTTGAATGAGAGATGTTAATATTAGAGCAGATTGATACGATTGTTTCACTTCTAGTATTTACTTGTTTATTGCAAGCAAGGAAATGATTTTTTCAAAGTTTCTGCATCAGCTATAACCAGACCTGACCCTGCTTTAAACTTCCACAGGAGTGGAGAGTGGCTCATTCAGACCAGCTGGACATTAGGCCTTACCCTTGGTTGAGCCTCAGGAAGGTACCTGGTCAGCTTGTAGGGCAGCTTGGGCAGACTCTGACTCCTCAGAGTCCGTGAGATCAACAGCTGTCTGAGGTCACTCACAGGTGGACAGTGTCGGCCACAGCCAGGAAGGTTGCTGGAGAGCTGATGGACAGTTGAGGTCCAGTTGGGAAACAGACCTCCAGTGGGCTTGAAGCTTTCCAAGTCTAAGAAAAATCTTTCTTGTAGATAAACAGTTTTCTTCTTAGTTTAACTGGTTCTGGAATGTTGACTTTAAAAACCGTAGTTCTGAGTTTCGTGTTGATTCTCAGTTACGGACCAACATAAAACACAAACGGTACAGACAGACGAACAGGACTCGAGTGACGGAAAGAAGTGAATTCTCTAGAAAACAGCTTACGTGTCTACATCACTAGATTGGTCTTCGTCTCTCTCTCAAGGCTGTAAGATAAAATAATATTGTGAAGATATCTCTGCTCAACAGCTTTTCAAAATAAAACACAGAGTTTGTCTCCCTGTCAAAGAGAGCTTTGTCTGAAACAAAAAACACGTTAGACTGTTGTTTTAACACTTTGTGATTAGAAAGACATCTGCATTAACTGTTCAGTTCATATTGACCTCAGTCATTTATTACAACACTGAAATAAAGAAAAAAATCATTTTATAAATATTTTTCTTAAATCTGAAGAATATTAAGTCTGTATATTCAAGTTTAAGTGTTAAAGAACAATAAATCCCATTGAAACAGAAAACATTATGTCAAGAGTAAGCTTTAAAATAACTTTTAAAGAAAATTGTTCAGTTCGGTTCTGGACATGACCTCAGGGTTCAGAGGTCATCCCAGAATAGGGGTCACTTCACACTACATATATACATACATATACATACAAGAATATGTTATTTGCAATTATTACTTTTACAAAGTAAAAAACAAAAAATGAATCTTGTAGATTTCAGTTTTGCTTTTGTCCCAACAAAATTAGGAAATATGTTTTTTCCTTTTCAATGCACTTGCAAAACAGAAACAAAGTAGGGAAAAGAAACAAAGTAAAGTACTTTATGAACACCAACACTGGTATCAGATCAGTCCTCATACTAGTATTCATCACTGCTGGGTATTCAGAGAGGACTAACAGCCTGTTATCATGTTCCTCCTAAGCTGAACAACTCCTGACCACCACAATCTGTTGAATACTGCTCCTTGTATTCCTTCAGTTACAAACTGATCATCTCTGTTCATGCTCACATTTCTGAGTGATGAGACAAACACTGGGTCTGGGCAATTTTCTGTGGCTGTGCTACTAGCTCTGATGATGCTACAAATACAGTACTACTACTTAAAAAAACAGGTAAAACAACATAAAATCACATTAATAGAAAAAATAAGAGCAAAAAAGGTATAAACTTGATTTTAGATAAGTTTTAAAAGTGGCCAAGGAAGGGGCATGTCTGATATGAAACCGAGGATCATTCTAAATAGCAAATATTAATGTAATTTCATTGTACTCTGTACAATGACAATAAAGGCATCATCAAATACTAATGACTTGCTGTCTACTGACACCAGAAAAAATTCAAATGGAGAAAAAACTCATTTTTGGTGTCAAAATAAAACTTTCATCATCTATGTCACTACAGAGATTTTCCACACTGGCTTGTTTTCTTACTTGCAAGAATATGGTTTTCCCACCAGTGTGACCTGTCATGTGTCTAAAATCTGAAATTCATCCCATATGTGATAATTGATGCTGTAGGAATGAGTTATTTATGTAAATAACTTTCCTGCATCTTCTCATAACTAAGCTATGAGAGAAAATTGTACCAAGGTTTCTTCTCATTACTTTAATACTTGTCTGTGCAAAGTGAAGTGACACAATGAGGGAACTTAGACATGGTTCAAGTTGATTCATAAAGATTATGCAATCATTTATTTACACAATTGAACAAAATCATAAATTACACCTGATTGTGGGCTATTTATAACAAGCGTCTAAGTTAAAATGAGATAAAAACCCGCGTCAGAATTTCTCTTCACATTAAAAC